TTTTGGGGGGGGGGGGAGAGAGATCAGCACCATCTAACAGCTATATCATTTTTATATGCGACATTGAACATGTAAAAGGAAATAAAGAACGTTTTAACAAAGAAATTCACATTGGTCTCCAGCATTCCCATCCTTGCATTGACTGGATTATGGATTTAAGAAGGGCAATAACTGCCTGACCCACAGCAATTGGTCTCCCTTCTGCTGATCCAGCCCATCCTCCACTGGGATGCACTGAAGAAGCTCTCACTTGGGTGGGTCAGCCTCAAACCAGTCTTGCTCCTACCCAGAACCAGCTGCCTCTGCTCTCAGATGCTCATATTTTACATGATGGATCGTTTACAAATCTGTTTTCCAGGTCAGGGGTGAATGCAGCTGGAGAAACTGAATTTTGATGCAGTTTCCCTTTATCCCTTGAATTTGTCCAAAATTAGCAAGATGGCATTCGGTGGACAAAGTCAGCTCGCACCTTCTCTCCTTTAGCAACAAATTCTCCTTTTTCCTTCGCTTGAGCTTGTCCTGGCACTCCTGGAGGCCCACTGACCCCCTGGTCACCCTGTTGATGCAAAAATTAGGAACTAGTTAGGCAAAAAATAATTATACAGAGAAGAAAAATGCAGAAGGGGGCCTCAAATAAAACATCTACTTTAAAAGTGTTATTATACTCTTTTCTAATCTATCCTTGCCTCGGCAGAAAATTAAGTTTCAGTAGGAAGATGGCACTATTAGTATCTAAAGCCAGGGGGAGACTTTCATCTCTCAGGGATCAGGAAAGCCACTGTCTCAAGTAATAACAATGAAACCTGATCATCTATAGGACACATCTATGAATGCATGTACATATAGACCATGTATGTATATACAAACAGCATATGTATACATACTAGTACACATATATATATATATATGCATATGCATATATACTGTCCAATTGCATTTTGACAGCCTAGAAAAGACCCAAACTGCCTAATAGAGCCTGGGAAGAAAGGAGGTATCTTTAGGTAAACCAACAATACACAAACCACCAAGAATTGTCTTCTTTGGGCATCCTGCTGGGTACAATTGGAAGTACAGTGAGTCCCAGTTATAGCACAGTGAGTGAGGTCCAAAAAATTCAACTATATAAACTGCAGGGTTACTTTACTGCGTGTGAGGTTTATGAAAAGACTGGGCCAAAATTTTGGGTGGAAAGCAGAAGCCAACTATTCAGTCCACATCCGCCCAGGCCTCGGTTGGCTTGGGGCCCTCTGGTGGCTGTCATCTGCAATGGCTTGACCATCCATAGAAAAGAACCTTGGCCCTGGGGCAGGAGCTGCCATAATTCCAAGAATCCCCACTTGGCTAGTGCCCATTTCACTGGTGTAACTAATGGAGAGATCACCAGAAGATCAGGAACACACTGTTGATCTCCCTTCTTCCCAAGTTGGGGTTGCCTGTTCTGGTCCATGCCTCCCTGCCTTCAAGGCTCATTTCCTCCCAATTTTGGTATGATAACCTTTGCCTTTGCAGGATTCAATATAGTTACACTATTAACAGTCAAGTCCTAAATTGGACTCGTTTATAATAAAGTCTAGGTCTGGTCTTATCATTGCCTGAGAACATTTTGATTGAACTGTATATACAGAAAACTGGGATTAATGGTCTCATTCTATTCTCTGCTAGTCAGATCACACATAGACTTCAGCGAATTTTAGCTGTGCATTTTAAGGAAGACACTAACAAACTCAAGAACATGCAGAGAAGAGTAACTATGGTATAAGAGCCCCCAAATAGGTCCAGAGGCAGAAACTCTATCGTGCTTAGAACTGTGATTTTAAGCATGAAAACACCCCAAAGCAATGTGTACTCACCTTGTCACCTTTTGGTCCTTGAAAACTTAAGCCCATTTGCCCCTGTTGATTGAAAATTGGGTTTCCATTAGTAGAGTTGTCTAATTTGCTCAAAAGCATCTAACAAATATCATATAAAATGCAGTAAGATAGTAGATTCAAGGCAATAGCCTCATCCCACAACCGCCCTAAGGTTTTCATGAATGCTGTGATTGTGTTGTGTTCAACGTCTATAAAGTAGTTTTTAAAAGCATTATTGAAAAAGAAGTCTATAAAAACCTTTTTTCTTAATTTAAGGTTTTTAAACTCTGGCTTTATAACACTAAGGTGAAAATCAATGATTCCAAAATAATGGGTAAGGGGTTGCTAGATGGAAAAAACGATCAATGGCTGGCAGATCAATCGATTGGACTCATACGTTAGATAGATGGATAAATAGATCGGTGGAAAGACAGATGTTAAGTACAGAGATAGATAAAGAAGTTATAAGTTTCTAAAAGTTTTTAACAGAGACTTAAAGAATGAGCTATGGCAATTTCATGATAGTCTTATACTAATGTCAAAGAAAGACAAATGACGAAAATCTTTACCTTTTCACCTGGAGGGCCAGGAGGGCCTGGGGGACCCTATAAGAAAAAGCATCTTAATTAAATACAGTTCACAACCCTGATAAGCTTTACATGCTTCTTTGTACAGAAATTATGTTAAGATCCTATGGTTAACATGATAATTTATTTGTTAAATATTTAATTTTTTTCCTGTGCTTAGAACTATAAAACTTTTAAAGTAACCAGAAACTAGTCCTGTATGATTATTAACAGGGATGGAAATACTTCAAAAATCTTGGGCACTGCCCTGTGGGATCCACTGATCTAAGGACATGAAAGGCTAACAGACAATAGATGAAATCACCAGCCAAACTCTCTATGAGTCCAGACTTTCCAGTTTGGAAATGATGTTTGTCCAATTTGGATATAACTTCTTATCTTAAAAAGCTGAATGATTTTTTTAAGCAAGTAGACTATAGTGAAGTAAAAAAAAAAACAACAAAAAACTTGTGTTCGGAACAAAATTTCAGAGTGTTTTCTATAATCATTTAAAAGGAAAAACTAGTCATTTTTATACATATAAAGAATGTGATCAGCACTTTACGAAGTGATCAGCACAATAAGTCCAGTAACCATATGTTATTAGTCATTCTTTACTCATAAAAAGGATTTTATTCATTTACAAGAACATAAAAGAGATTCCATTTGCAGGAATGCCTATAATTAGAATTGCTGAATTTTACCCACCCTCCAAAAAGAGTAAATTTAAACGATAAGCCTGAAAAAATCTCAGGACTCTCAGGCAGACTAGTGTGAGGATAACAGAGTCAGGCATGTTCTCATTCCCAGTGAACGTGGCATTCCACAATTAAGTCCTGTTAATATTAACCGTCTCGTGGTCCCAAAAATGTATGTGTGAGCAGATGATGTCCTCCTCTTGAGAATTATCAGCTGTGAAGGAGGCCGATGATACGGCAGAGCCTCCTGGGTGCTCAGTTTGCAAAGTCTTTGAAATACAGCTTCTATGCTGCCACCTGGTCTGTGCCTTTAGTCCCCAAGAGCAGACCCTCTGGTATGACTATGTTCTCACAAGTGCACCTCCAGGGCTGAGCCTGCCTCTTCGGGCATCCACTCCACCCTTCGAGTAATGAAGGTGTTGTCTGTTTTGGGGGTGTCTTGTTATGCAGCACTATTATGAACCTGTCCCCACAGCTCTGGGAATATGTGGACCATAAGCGCCAGCCAGGTATATTCATAAGAAAGAAATTCATTCTCCCAATCTAAATTAAGGGAGTTGCCACTGTGTCAAGTTTTCATTAGGTTTTATTTTCACACCTCAACATAGTTGTTTTTTGAATGACTGCCTCAGAGAAACATGCCCCCAAACTTACTGGTGGTCCGGTATATCCTGGAGGGCCAATGGGACCTTGCAGCCCCGGAAATCCTGGTGAACCCTATAATGTATTGAGAAAGGAAAGAATTAAAATGCAAACCAGGAGGAAACTCAGCATGAGATTACAGTTATTCAGCCAGTGCTTACTGGTGGGCCGGGGGGTCCAGGAAATCCTCTTTCGCCTTTCAGCAGTATCCCAGGCACTTGGCCGAGTATTTCACCAGGATCTCCCTGTGGAATGAAAAATAAGACAAAGTCATGAATACTGATATTTACATGAAGAAACTTAAAACCTATCCAATATCAGGCATGTCTTACTGGTATGGAACTAGCCCAAGTCTGGGGTTTAGACGCTCTAAGCTTGAAATATACAGATTGGCCATCTCCCCCTTCATCGTTCATGCTCCTGTCTTAATGACCAGCGTTCAGCGCTGCACAGTCAACTCGGCTGCGACCAGGACTGAATGTCTAGACAGCTAAGGGAAAGGATCTATGACACTTCCATGTGCCTGTCCCACACAGACAAGAGAAATACCAGACCAGGTCCCAGTCTCTGGTTGAGAGGCTATGTGACCACAGGCAGTCATCACAAAACAAGAACTGTATTTCAAGGAAAGCATCTCAAAATGAACATTTTTATCAAAGCAGGGAGAGTATGAGAGTAAACGTCATGTGTTAACTTGGCCAGGCCACACACAGTACAGAGAGGCCTCGGCCCCACCTGGACGAACAGGGAAAAGCAAGCTGAGAAGGGCCATGGGCTGCCTCTGAATGAAGAGGTCGTGCCACCAGGATCTGACCTAAGACAATTAGGGGTGTCCCTGCCATAATTACGGAATGTGTAATGGAGTGACTCCAGATTACAGGCAACATGAAGCAAGGGTTGTATTTAAGTTAAACCATGTGGATTAAATATGATACCAATTTTTGTCCTTTTTGGTGGCACTGTACTTATGTCCCATGGCTCTAGAAAAGGAGCATCATTTAGATATCCATGCAGGTAAGGAATCTGAACTAGACTCGCATCTGTTAATATTGACCATCACACCGTGCTACCTATTCCTGCGTATTCCTACTAAGACATTGTACCTGGTGTCTAAACTTTGGATTCTAAAATTTAAATTTGTGTATATGATTTATATACCCTTTTAATGTAACATTGTTTAGATAAATGTGTTAACAGGCAATCGGCCCACCAAAGTGATTTAAAGTAAATTTATTTTTACAGCATCTGTTTTAAACAGACTTCTGTAATGAATCCAATACAATAAAACATTGTATACCTTCATTCCTGGTATCCCTGGCGGTCCCTGAAAAAGAAAAAGTTGGTGTTACTTTTTGTTTTTCTCAAAATGTCATTAGGATTAATATATAAGTGCAAAAAAAAAAATGAGTAAGGAAAGGAAATGGAATGAGAATAGAGAAATTATAGCCAAAGGAAGAAATTCTGAGTTAACCTCATACTCACAGGATTTCCAGTGAATCCAGGCAAACCAGGAGGTCCCACAGGCCCTCGTTCACCCTGAGGGGACAGCAGAAGACATTCACAAGTACCAGACAAGGCAAGTGGGACCTCACTCCAGACACCCTCATCGGTTACTATGTCCTACCCATCAGGGATACCTCACCTGTCGGTTAAAATCATTTTCTGAAAATTGTTTGTTACGATCTATGTTGCTGATTGCTACTTCAGAATGGAAGACATATATTTGAGAATACAATTAAGAGGGACAGGATTAATAACAGCAGGGGTTTTCTTTTTGTTTGATTTAGTAATAGATTATAGGTAAGAAATATAGTGCTTAAAGCAATTTTAGGGTAAAATTGTACACAAAAAAGAAAGGCATGATTATGTCATTCTTGAACATTAAATACAGGAAAACCGTGTTTCCTAATCAAATAAAGAAATAAGTGTTAAGACAAGCAACTCTGCAGTTACAGCAACTAAAACAGTGTTTGCAGAACAACTTGGCCTGGCTTCTCAAGATACAAAATCAGTGAACATGCAAAGGGGTAAAGGTCTCGGTTCTAAACTTACCTTTGTCCCGTTGCATCCTGGGATACCTGGGGGACCTGGAGGACCATCTTGTCCAGGAATGCCCTGCAATTAATAAAGTGGGAAAGTCGCCAAAATTAAAAAATTACCTGATGATGCCATCATTCATGTCAAATGTCTCAAAAAGAAGCAGGTGCGTTTTTTATACATACAGGAAGTCCTGGGTTTCCAGGGTAACCCGATATTCCTGGGGGTCCCTGTAAGGATGGAAGGGAGAAAATTTCCGTGAGCACTGGGGAACCTCATTTCCTCCCACTGCATCCACCTAAGGGTGTCTATCCTAACTGCTGGGGTTCAGAACATCACACTAAGCAGACAGGGCATCCTGCCGGGGAGGCAACTGAGGGCCCAGCCCAGGGAGGCAGACCCCCCAGGCTTTCAGAAGCAGTTCTACATCAAAAGCTGATGATTAATTCCTTCTAAAATCCAGGCTGCCCATGCACAATATAATTCTGCCCTCATTTCATTCTTTGTAATTTCTAGGTAAGAAAATAAATATCTACAAAATTCACATTAAAATCTCAAACAGTTGGGAAGAAAAATACATAGGATAAGTAAGCTCATTACAGGGGGGAAATCAAGTCATTTCCGTTGAAATCTGGATCTTCTCCATCCCAGAGAGCTCCAGTGTTATTTCCTCTCTCTTCTGCCCCAAGGACATGTGCACGACCTGGTCACTGTCGCACTCCCCTTCAACCAAGTAACAATAACAGAATGAAACCTCTACATCTTACAGTGCCTCTCTATTTTTCTACTCTTGAGATTATTGTCAAAGATCTTTATTTCTGTATTTCCCAGGAATGGGAGGAGCAAAGAAAGTAAAAGAAAGAAGAGCACGTTTAGCTCTGGAAATATCATCACCTTTCACATTCAATGAAGACATCTTTCTTCAAAGACTCGCAAACACACCATCCCCCCTCCCAGAAGTTCAACTATGTCTACAAGAGCCTTGAGGAAGGACAAGTGGGAGGAAACGTGTGTAAAAAAGTACAAGCAGCAGCCCCACTAGGCACAGCTCCAGTCGCAAGGACTGGAGGTCAGGAACCGTGAGCTTGGGCTCATTTTAAGTCCTACGCCCCGAGGAAGACAGGCAGAGGGAAAGGGACCGAGGTAGGAGAGGAGAGGAAGGAAGGCCCCTCAGGACTGCCTAAAGTGCAAAGAGCCCTCACTCCAGAAGTACTGCGAGATCACACCCCACCCACAGCCCTCACCGACGACGCAAGCGACAAGGGTACTCACTCTTGTCCCTTTTGTTCCTGGCAGGCCTGGTTCTCCAGCATCACCCTAGAACAAAACAGAAAAGCCATTATGATCACTCGTTCTAACAAGATAAATGACCTCAAATCTGCATCTTCACAGCCCACATCACCCAGCCGAGCTCACCTTTAGTCCAGGTGGTCCCTGCGGCCCCTCAGGTCCTTGCATTCCTGGAAATCCAATGACACCTTGCAACCCTGGGAGGCCCCTTTCACCCTGTAGAGGAGGAACGCAGGTCAGACAAAAGGCAGGTTGAAAGAAATCGAGGAAACAAATCAAGCCATCAGCCTCTCAAAGCATCACCTAACCGTGCACAAGCTTACAGTGAGCATCTGAAAACAGGTGCTGAAATGAATTCCTACTTCAGGTGGCCTTTCTCTACTATTTTTTAAGGCTGTTTGAGGAAGGGACATGATACCTGGCACAATGCTTTCTGTATACTCTATTCTAAATGCTAAATAATTTGCTGGGGATTACTTTTCCCTGAATTGACTATAAGCTCATTCAATTAGTGGAATCCTCTTGATACCAGGAGACCCAGCACTGAGATTGTGTGAGTAGACCATCAGTCAATCTTTCCCTTTAGATCCTTTCAGGAGCTGTGTAGGCAGAGCTCATAGTGTGGGTTTCAGCACGATGCTGAGAATTCTCTGTGCCATCAACAGCCTGATGATGGGCTTTCATAAGTGTCTTTAAAAAGCGGGTGTGTTGGGTTTTTGCAAAGCTTGGATCAGAGTTTAATTATGGTCTCTGCCCTTGTAACGCAAAAAGAAACAGGAGACATTATTTTAACATTAATAATTACGACTCGGGGTCCACACACATGGCTGAAATACATTCCAAAAAGAAAAGGAATGGTCAGAAAGACTGTGTGGGTTTTTGAGCCTTAAGCTGGCCCTTGAAGAATATTGCAAAGTAAATATGTGAAGAGGAGGGAGAAGGAAATGCAGGCTGGATGTCACAGACGGCGATGAGGGTAAACACCTAGGCCATGTGAGCCCAAGAAAATGACCAGAAGAAACACAACTGGGACGAGAACATGGGGGAACACGGCGTCAATATTTGATCCTGGAAATATGATTTCTTCTGCAGGCATCGGTGCAATTTGAGGAAGACTGTCTAGAGACATTGCCAAATCTAGAGAGACTGCCAAAATAAAATCACCCATAATCAGGACAAGAAATCAAGAAAACCCATTTCCTTTACGGTCTGCGGACTTTCATGCAATCTTACAATACTAAGTGGGGAGATGTTAGCTGATTTTTAAAAGCAAAGGGCACTTGGAGATTCCAGGTGGGATTTCTTAGTGCCCAGTACTTTTCTCACAGCTGTATTAGTTCAAAGTAAAAAATAAACTGACAAGCTACACCTTACCTAACACAAACATTTACCCCCAACATAGCACATTACCAGGAGTTACTTAAGTGTTTCGCTGTTGCAAAAATGAAAGGAGACAGAGCAAGAACCTTCAAAGGTGTCCTCCTTTCCAGACCACTCAGCCAGTCCTGACTTGCTAATGCATTAGCTGCCTGTTGCATTTTTAGAAACACGGAAAAATGGATCTGAACTTGGGATTCCAACTGCTGGGCCCCCATGGATTGTAGGTTTAATGAGAAGGTAGGTCAGGGATCCAGAAACGGCGTGTGAATAAGCATAGAGGAGGCTCTTTCAAGCTCTAGAGGATATGATAAAATAGTAACTGGATTAAAGAAAATGAGGCCCTACACTTTGGCACACCCCTTTGGACCATCAGCATCCAGAGAATCTACCAGAAAGAAGAGATGCTGATATCGCCAGAGCCCTCAGCATAGGATTTGATGCAGAATGCTGGTTCCTCCTCTCTGAGGCCTGGGACAGCTGGGAAAGAAAAACATTCTCAGACCAAGACTTGATCAAATGTGAAGCTCCTTAAATATACTCATTAGCCACCTAAAAGAGTAACAATGAGATACAGCTGCAGAAGATCCTGATGACAGCAAATATATTGCACTCTTATCACATCCACCTCTCCCATTTTATTCAGATGTGGGAAAACTCCACCCAGAATAGAACTGGACTGGACTGCAAACAGCTGGCTGAAAGAATTAATGAACATTGAATTGTGTGTCCCCAAATAACCTAACATTAGATAGGAAGGAAATGTGAGAGGCACGTCAGCATAAAAGCCCTCTAATGGAGTATTTTTAGGACTTAGTTAATATTGGCAGCATCGTTATGAGACCCAATGCAGATAAGATTTTATAACTCTCATTTTGATCATGGAATGCATGGAGGCCAAGAGCCAAAAGAGCTGATTTCTACAAGTTTCTCACTGAGTCAGCTCTAAAGCCAAAAATAGAAATGAGGTCAGCCTGAACCAGAGTCCATTTTTTTTCTAGGTCACTAGAGCAAGCGGGTTCCCAGCAAAACTTGAAACAATCCACCAACATTAAGTTAGTCCCTTTTATGTCCATTTCACAGATAGGGAAATTAGTATTCCGGTGCTTAGCTGACCTGTCACATGTCACTGGGTGACCCCTGCATGCTCCTGGGAGCAGAATACAGAAATTTCAATTCCCAGTCCTTGCTTTCACTACGAGAACACATTCTTTCCCAAGTGTCACTGGGCTGCTTAAGCAATCCGTATATCCCAAGAGTTTTGCAATTAAGTATTCAGAAAGGAAGTGACGCTTTCATCGACGTGGTTCTTGCCATCTCCCACATGTATTTTTTTAACTTTTCTAATCTTTCCTTCCAACATAAGTGCACATGAATAATCTAACATCCCGTCCCCTTTCAAGGTTACTGTGGGCACCAGAGCAGAGAAAACAGACAGGATAGCAGCATTCAAAGAGCTAAACAATTAGCTGCCAAATATCACACCCTGTCTGCAGGCCAACTTATTCCTCCGAGTTTTTAGCAAACCTCCACTGCGGTTATCGGAGGAGCAAAGAGCAGGACAAGTGTGCAAAGCTCACTGGTGCCAGGAGTTTCTAAGCCAGGCTTTGCAATACTACAACTGTGAACACCCTTATGCTGGAGCTCAAGGCAGAATGCGCCCAGTTAAAAAATCCTGAGAAATAGGACCCCTTAGTCAACAGTTTCCTGTGATGTGCTAAAGGCAAGGTCCAGAGGACATAGTGGCCACATAATTCACGCCAGACAGAAATGAAACCTACAACCACTGTTATCACAGCAATGAAAACTTAAAATGGAGGGGGGAAAGAGAAGCTTCTAAAATACGACACGGTTTTGATGCAGTGGCATTTCACGGTTTTATTCCTGAACGTCAGTGCCATGCACTGCACTAATCAAAATAAAGAAATCTTATATAGCAACAGAAGTGATTACCCCTGTATCCTCAAATTTGAGGAGGAAGGGCAAAATGCCATCGTGGAGAATATTCTTGGCATCAAATTTGCCATTCTAAATTAGGCATGAAATAGAGTTTCATGCATGGAGCAACTTAAAATTTTGCCTAATATATTATCTAAAGCTAGGATATACTTTGAAAAACTCCATAAAATATAGGAAAAACAGGTTCTGTTATCATATCCAATTATTTCCCTTCCTCTTAAAATGCTTATGGAAACAAGTTCATGATGGAAATCAAATGCTAGACTATAACCCCCTTCCTATATAAGTCAGAAATCCATATACAAATAAGCTCCAAGGATGGCTGAAGTTGAAACACTGTGAAGCGCCTAACTTTGGGGGATAATATAATTACCAACAAGAGAAACTGAAGTTAACACAAAATGTATCTAGAAAAAGCCATCAATAAAAAATCTCATCATCAAAGGCCACTCTACGCCTGTTTCCGTGGTCAGCACAGGATCACAACCCTGTCGTCAAATTTTTAATGTTTCACATTTAAAGTAACCTGACCATGGATCTTTACAATAGGCTGAAGCACAATCGGAAATGTTGCCAGAGCACTGGGCTTCCTCCCACAGGCGGCCTGACTATAGGGTAGAGCCACGTGCTTGGGTTCATTCACCAGAAAGCAGAACAAACCCAAAAAGCGATATTAATTAGACAGATTTTGCCGTCGGGTTTCTACTTTTTAGAAGTAAATACTTTAAAGGCAGGGTATTGTTTTATTCATTGACACCATTTGGCACCAACTTTAAATTCAATAAAAGTTGGTGAATAGATGCGAACCAACCAATACTATAACATGATGCTAACCATGAAGTAGGACACTACCTATGTGTCCGAAAGACTTTAAAACATAGTAAAATATGGTTACTGGGCAGGATGGGATCCCTGAGCTCCCTTCCCCAGTTGAAAGCCCCATGGGCCCCATTCGAGACTGGCTAACATATGCACCCCTGGCCAGAGAAGCAACGTGGGAGAAAGCCGAGGTCGGGACATGACACTGGATCAGCTGTTTCTTTCTGTCATCTGGTGTCTTGAGGTTGCCATTTCCCAACAAGGCTGCAAATAATTGAGGGAACGAAAGCATTTACATTTGGAGCGAGAGCTCACCAAGCATTCAGTGATGAAACGATTTCAAATGACGGGTTAGTCAATGGATGACTATGGAACTCAGCCAAAAATTCCACTAGTCCAATTCCTTGAGCCCAACAATAATCAGACATCTGCAGAGCCATTTCCTAAATACCAAGCCTGCTGGGAAAGTGGTGGGAAGGCTACAGTCAGTGTCACAGGGTCATGGAAAAACTCTGTGGCGAGGCCCCACTGGGAGCTCCATCCACGCCACGAAGCCTGACGTTACGGCAGAAATATTGCCATTGATGCAAAGGAGAGGAGGGGAGAGGAAATGCATGGCCAGGGCCCCAAAAGGCCCAGTTTCCCTCAGGGGAAAACAAGAATACCGATTCTCCTGGGCACTATGAACTACATAACTGGATTCTTAAAAGAATGTGCATATGTTAAAGGACACTACAGTGCTTTAACGAATTAGTTAAAATACTGAAGATTGTTTCATGTAACCACTCAATAATGACTATCGTTTTTTGCATTTAACATTTTGATAACAAAGCAGGGCAGAATAATATAACCCCGCACAAAAAGCGTGGCTGCAAATCTTTATCTTATTTCCCAACTCTCATTTTCTCTCTCGAGCCCTGGCGATGTTTAGCTTGAGACAGTCAATATTACGAATCTTTACACAGTGGCTCTCCATCAAATGTGTGGATATATGTTAAGAGCTTTAGCAATTATATATGGGGGGAGGAGCATTTAAGAGATGGCTCCCAGAAATAAGGACA